CGAGTTGTCACCTTCCTACATGAGCATCACCAGTTCGCAACAGACACATCGGAGGATGGGTGATTGATCAGCACTTCACTACCATCACAGTTCTATCATCATTTTCTTTTCTTTTATCTTATTTTATTTTGCTTTTATTCACCATCTTCTCACCAACTTTTTCACACTGGAGACAGTGTGATTTAAGTCTGGTGGAGGATGTCTATCCGTACTAATCATTTTCTTGCTTTTGCTTTTAAATTTCAAGTACTTTTTAATTTTTAATATGTAACCTATTCAACATTAAGTAATTTTCAGGAATGTTTGACGCAAAACTATGATGATTTAGACCTGCACACTTCTACACTTTGCATGATGGCTCATTTGTGGGTAGCACTAGACTAGGCGGTAGCTAGAGTACTTGCACTACAAACTCCCACCAGAGGACTTCTATTCATGGAGATTCTTTCTGACAGGATAAACTAGCTCATTTTATTTGACCTTAGTATTGACATCTAATTTTCTCATCATTGATTTTAGGCAGGCATCGACATACACATCTAGGACGTCTTTTACCCTCACTTTTACCACTCTTTGTCGTCCTAGATGACCAGTTTATCTTTATCTGGTACCATACCCTAAACCCAGAACCCTTGTTTTCAATCCTCATGCATTCTCTCTTTAGTTTATATCAGCAGATATGTGCAAAAACGTCGGAGAGAAGAGGAGCGACGCAGTTTTCAGTCACTCACAAAGGAGACTGAATGGAATTGGGAAGGAAGAGTATCAGAAACCTCATAAAGCTTTACAAGACGGATATTAACTGGTAATTTCGTGCTCTCTAAGACTCTATATCTAAAGGTGTTCCCTCTCTTCTTCTTCAAAAAAAAAAAAAAAAAAAAAAACGAATGAAAAGAAAAAGGAAAACAAAAAGCCTAACAAGTCCTAGATTGTCGAAATTTGTGGAGCAATAAGCAACCACTATTCGTTTAAGGGAGCTATGGTTTTGAAAGATTTACAAAAATCTAAGTCTGGGGGAGTTAGGAGAGAACCTGAGGAAGAAGACCAGGAATTTATGGCAAGAAGAAAGTGACTGAAAACTGTGGATACCAACAGCTTCACTCTCTCTTGCGGTTTTGCATAATATCCTGCATCCTCCAGATCTTCAGGTAACCCGTAAACACTTTAAGCCTTACCCCTAGAATAACCTTTTTGACACCTAGCCTAGATTACCTTGCCTAGATTTTCTTTGATGAGAACCATCGAGATTTTTAATGAATGTTAAGAGCTAGTTGACTGGAAGTTAGATCTTAGTGCATAGATTTCCGCATGACGGATTAACGGACTAGTTATGCCTGTATTGCTAGTGAGAATTTTCTATGCTATTCCCGATTGATGCATACTGATTGATATTGGTCTAGAAGTTTGGTCTCTGAGATTTTGTTTAGTTCCTGCGTTTTCAAACCTCTCGCCGAGATTTAGCCTTTGTTTTGTTTGAGGACAAACAAAAGACTAAGTCTGGGGGAGTTGATAACACCGGATTTTGACCATTTTTATGGATCACTTTAATATCTTTTACAGGTGTTTTTACTCCATTTCCAAAGGTTTTCAAAGGATTTCTATGTTTTCGGATTTTAAAAGACTTTTCAGGTAGTTTGGGATAAAGAGGTACAAATTGGAACAAAAAGACTCTTTTGGATAAATGCAGACCGTCAGAACTCTCATGGAGAGACGAAGACCTTCTCACCATCTGATCACCCTCAAAATTGGACAACTTATAGAAGAATCAACCAGCTTTCAAATTCACTTGGTTTGGAGACATTCCAACGGTTGGATCTCAAGATATTCCATTAGCCCTGGAGCCACTCGAAGACGGCCAGCAAGTCACGCGACCGTGGCCAACAGCCCATTTCCCGCGGTCAGAAGCCTCCCGACCGCGGCCAACCACCTAATCCTCGCGGTCACGTCACTCCCGACCGCGGCTATCAAGCTCCGAACTAAAGCCCATATTTCTGAAGCCCAAAGTCATTCTCAGCCTCAATTTTGGAACCCTAGAGACCATGGAGTATTGAAGACTATAAATACTTGTCATTTAGGTCGTTTTTAGAGACAACCCTTCATACTTTACAGAAACCCTTTTCCTTTAGCCGTTTTTATGCGATTTTTGTAGAAGATTGTTCAAGTCCGAGTTCTTCAATAGTGAAGCTTTCTTCATCTCTTTTCTTTACTGTTTTTGATTACTTTTATTAAAACCAATGATGATGTCGACCTCAGCCATGTCTGAGTAGATCCCGAGTTGGGCTTAGGGTTCCCGAAAGGGGCTCTCATAATCGATTAAGACATCTAGGTTTATAGATCTGGGATTTCGACCTGCTCTCTCTTTATTTTTGTTCTTATTGCATGTATGCTTGATTGATCACCTAGTATCTGATCTAGATAGTTAGTGTTGCAAAAGTTTTCATTAAGTATCAGCCCTAGAATGAAACAGGCGATTTTTCCGTAGGAGTGGAAACCTACCTGCGGCGAGATCGTGAGTATTGACGAGTCTTGTGCAGCTCTTCCGTTCTCTCCCTTCCAGGGCCAGAGTGGAAACCTACTGGTCAGGGTTGCGAGAAACAATTGGTTATGATCACGACAGTGACGTGGTCATACCGCCGTACTCTAGCTCTAGAACCCTATATATCGATATCCGTCAATCCCAATCTATTTACCCTAGTGTCAAAACCGATTATGATCCCTTAGAGTTCCCAAAAGCTCAGCGTTTTTAGCCATAGTTTACAAACCAATCGATTTTTATTTGCTTATTTAGATCTGCATTTCAATTGTCTTAGTTCGATATTTACTTGCTTTACTTGCTTTCCATTCGATTTTTCTACTTGCTTTTTAGGATAGATTTATTTGCTTTCTTTTGTTTTAGTTTAATTCGTGATAAACAACCAACCTTTAAAACCAATCTAGTCTAGACATAAAGTTAGAAACCATAGAAGAATACCAGGCACACAAATCTCTGTGGATTCAATCCCTAAATACTACAACTGATTAGCTGTGCACTTGCGGCTTTCATTTGTTTTGTAAAGGGTAAAACTTGTTCCCTCACGCAGTTGATACGACATCACCGTTAGATGCTACAGCTTAGTGCTGCTCTATTGATAGAAACCATAAAATCATAAAATAAGTTCAAAAGTACTCTACAAATAGCTAGAAATAGGAAAGTTTCAACTTGCTCTGGCGCTTACGCGGGGTAGCACAGGCAAACCCGATCCTTCTGTCCCAAAAATTAAATATGGTGTGATATCACCGGAGCCAAAAGAGTTTCAAAACACTATCAAATTAAAAATGTTTATACTTAAATTCTAAATGGTAGTTGATAATGATATTAATAAATTTAAAATATAATATTAATAAACTTACATGTGTGGTTCTGAAGATGGGAATATCGCGGGTATTAAAGGCTGTGATAAATGATCCTTCCACGTCTGGATGAGGAATTATGTACTAATCAAAAACATTTAATTAATTAATAACAATTCTCATATAAATAAAAATTCAAAAAAAAATTAAGTTATTTATATCTCATAGATGGAGGTTAAAAGCGTAGTGATCATCACCAAGACCAAGATCGAAGGTGAATGAAACATGATACCATATGTAGTTAGAATCATGTAGTTAGGATCATATGATACCACACCAACTTTAACTTTGTACAATGAAGGATCGGACTTGCATGTTCTCATATATGCTAATATTATTTATTTGTAATGAGCTTTGTTTTATGATTTATTTTTATTTCTCTCTATTTATAGGATTATTTAAACAACAACAGAAAACAAAGTTATTTACGTATTGTGATAGAATCCATTATTATCAATAAATTGTGATGATTTAAAACAAGAAAAATAAGACTTCTATATAAAAAAATTATTTTTAAATCACTTATCATTAAATCACATCATTACATATTTAAAAATTATCGTTAGGATCATATAGTTAGAATCATATAGTTAGGATCATGTAGTTAGGATTATGTAAATATGATCATTAGTAAATTGAAATTTTATATATGAAATATGTCTCAGCTTGTTTGCTTCCTTAATTATGTATTATTTTATTTTTTTGGCTTTAGATGTATAGTTACTATAAACACCTATAGTTTACTATTAGGTGTATAGTTGCTATAGCTAACTATATTGTATACATGTATAACAATTATATTATATAGTCAACTATACACTTTACAAACTCTAAAAGTAACAAACTAGTATAGTGAATTATACTATATCACAGTTGGAGGATTTCAAGGAACATTTGCTCATTGTCATTATAGTGAGAATTTCAATAGTGAATTTTATCTATTTGTGATGAACTTTGTTTTATTATCTATTGGTATTTCTATATATTTGTTTAAACAACAACAATAGAAAACAAATTTATTTATTTATTATGACTGAATCTATTAATATTAAAAAACTAATATGATCTAAAATAAGAAGAGTAAGATATTCAAAGAAAAAAATCACTTTTTATGTCACTTGTTATTGAATCATATCATGACATATATTGAAATTTTTTTGTTAGAAACTTGTACTTAAGATCATGTAATATACTTAGTAGGACTTAATCCATTAATATTAATAAACAAATTATGATGATTTAAAACAAGAAGAATAAAACATTCTTGAGAAGAAATCACTTTTTATATCACTTGTTATTAAATCATATGACATATATTAAAAAAAAATTGTTAAGAACATGTAATTAAGATCATGTAGTAAATTGAAAATTATAAATAGTTAATATGGGGATCAGCTAGTTATGATCATGTATTAAATTTAAAACTTTAGACAGTTCTTATATTTTAGAACATTGATCAATAAATTATGTATGGTATAACTAATCAAAAACTGATTAATTCATCGTTTGTAATCATAAATTGATTAGAGTTAACTGCTTTCCTGACACAGATCCAAATATGTTTTTTTTAATAATGAAATACAAACAAAAAATGTTAAGAATCAGGGAAAACTTGATTTTACAATTCAGGATATCTAGGAATACAAAAACAAAAAAAAACAACCGGTTTAACACCAAAAAAAAACTAGAATTGAGGGAATAATATAAGACAAATACAAACACGAGATAGTTTTTGGTGATGTTTCAAAATCAGAAAGTAACAAAGAGAGAGCTGAGTTATGTATGCCTATTCAATAGAAGTATCTATGAACACTTGAATCAACAAGTAGCTACGTGGGAAAGCTGCTATTTCCTCTCTCCTCTACCTGTGCTGATCAATCTCCTTACAACAGCTGCAACAACACATGAATCTTACAGTTAATCATTTAGATTCTTATAATTGTATGTTATTATTGTCCTTCGAAAGTTTGAATCTTGACCTACCTGGTTATAGTTAAAATCCAGCGACCTGCAGTGTTGCAGCAGAACCAATATTGCTAGTCTGGGAAAACTTCATCGTGCTCATTGTCTGCTAAAGACAAATGTCCATGTCCAGAGCTGGTGGTGTTGTGTATCTCTTCTGGTATGTCCTCTTCTTCATCGTCCGTTGAGCTTTTGTCGTAAGAGAATGGTCTCTGACATATGCAAGCTTGTGGGAACTCGTGGAACTCACCGCGTCCTGGTTTGAACTCATCGGGATCACCCATGAATCCGCGTTGACAAGATTTCACTTTCTTGGAGAAAGTTTGCCACTCCATCTTTTCTCGGTCCATGAACAAAGCACTGAGCTTCTTTGCATTTGGCCTGATGGTCCTCTTGTGCCCCATGTACCTCCTGTAATCACACAAGTGGATTAATGACCATTGCAATGCAAGTATACAAGAAACCAACAATTCTAACTGGATGGTTCATTCAACAACCATATTCATTCACACAAGGTATAATGGGAAAATGGGAACAAGTAGGAAGGTTTGTTACCTTCGGCCAGCAAGAATCTTGGCCATGTTTCCATTATTGTTCGTGATAAAGACGTCACTTTCGTCGCTGACTATGTAGTCAATGGCAGCAAGGCGTGAAGAAAAGGGAAGCATAGGCTTGAGCTCATCACTGGCAAGCATTTCCTTTGTGTAAAAGTTTGGAAACAGCTCTCTGAGTGGTCTCAGTGCGTTTTCACCACCATATATTTCTCCAGACGCAACATAGATGTATGTGTCATTGGTAAAACCAAGAGCGCGCAGCATTATGCCCACTTCGTGAGGGGTAAGAGGGCATTTCCCACGCTTTCTTTCCTCCAGAGGGTCCAGATCCTGCAGTGATAGCTTAGTGAGATATTGTAACTCCAAAACAAACCACACACACACACAAAAAAAAAAAGATTTGGTTGTAAAGCTATTATCCTATGATGATACAAGAAACGAAACAAATAGTCTCTCAGTTCAATGCAGTAATGCACCAGTAGGAAACTAACGCAGAGAAATATAGAAATTAAAGTAAAAGAGCTTGGTGAACTCACAGGCAATGTGTCCCATCGCTTTCTTATTTCTGCCAGCTCAGCTCGCTCTTTTTCACCCCCGCCAAAGTCACAACCAGAAAAGGCTAGCATGTCAGGCTCAAACCTGCACATGATATATTATGTATGGTTATGTAACATAGCATGAAGATCTACGTCATGCTTAAATCACATGAACGAAAGACCGCTAAGTAGAAAAAATCAGAGAAACAATCTAAAATGTGTGATTTATATAAGTAGGTCGCACCTCAAGTGGACAGCAATAAAACGTTTGGCCATCTTTCTCATCTTCTTGACCACTTTCATTCCAACTGATTGTATGCGCTTTGTGAATCTTAAAGCTTGATAGTTGACCCTGCACCGCAACTTTTGCATGTCTTCGTCTAGATCATTCGCTAGTCTGTAGTCAAACTTTGTCAATTGTAAAACCTGCAAGATAACAATAAACATGAACAGGCTCCTAACAAAATTGAAACAGAATCATAGAACTTTTGGCGACTACAGAAACAAATATAACTGGGTATAAATTAGGCATCAGATGATAATAGTAATACCTATGATTCTATCTAATGAAGTAATTAATTCAATGTGATTCTTAGGTGAAACAGTCTTACATGTCTCCTCGAGAGAATTGGCAAGACTTGGTCGAGATAGTACTCAGGAGTAGACTTTCGAGGCACACGCATGGTATAAGGAGGTTTCTCCATCGACCGCATGACTCTGTCAGGAACTGCTTTTACTATAGTCACATCTTTGGTGAGGGAAGAGATGAACCAGTTAACGTCAAAAATGTCATTAAAGTCACTGCACAACAAACAAAGCAACTCTTTCAGTAAATGTTTGTGTTACAAACAGGTTCCAGATTATGCATTCCCACTGAATATCTTTATTTTGGCAAAACTTGCTAGTAACCTGTCATCTTTCCAATAAGAATGGTGATCCAACTCGGGTACAACTAAAGTAGCATTAAGAATCCGTGCAACAACCACTGCATCTGTTATCTGCTCATAAAGAGAACAATCAGTTTCGAAACAAACTAGGAGACTTCAATGAAGATATAACTGTGGCATTCAAGCGAAAAGAATGAGCAATATAACCATGAACACTTTATTGGGCATATCCTAACACACACTTACTCCTGTTCTTTGCTGGTTCAGACCTCCACTAGCTGCAATCAGCAAATACCCATTAGATGATTTCTCCTGGACAGCAGCTGCATGACCAAAACAAGATAAAAGAAAAATGTGAGAGGAGAATTTATCGATCAATGATACAAGAACACAAAATAAGTCTTGAACACATCAACAGATTCCCAAATAAGTATTGCCAGGAAAGCAAATGTGCTTTTAACCAAATTATAGAAAAGGGCAGAGCCAAATAGGCAGTTAGATCAATAAAGTCGCAGACTTTTCCTACTAGAATCCAAGATCATTTTGGAAAAAAGACCAAAGTTTCACTTTTTGATAAAGAGGCAAGAACAAAACGTAAAGAGATCTATCACTTACGTAGGAAATTCCTTCCTCTTTCACTGCATCCATAGAAGAACTTCGAATATTTTGACTTCCATACATCAATTGGTTCCCGACGGCTCATATCCTGAGAACATCCAATTTCAAGACTCAAATAGAATAAAATCAACTATCTTCAACCTAAATCAGACAAAAATTGAGCAGAGGAACAGTGACTGTCTCAAAGTGAGTAAGAATCACTACACTGAAATTAGCTGAAAGCTGCAATTAGAGAGGTTACCAGTAAGCTCCGTTTGGTCAATTGCTGAGAATACCACTCCAGGTGCGAGGCGACGTGGCCGGTGAAGAGTGAGATGACTCCTAAGGAGAAAAGCATGAAACCACAAACCCATGTCCACATTACCGTTCTCTTGGGCTGAGACGAGAAAGATCGCCACTTCCATAACGCGTTCTTGTTTCCGCCGTGGGAGGAGCCACCGTTGAGCTGCTGCGACAGAGTCGAGCTCGTCGTCGACCTCCACGCCTCAGCTACTACGCCCATAGATAGAAATGACTTCTCACCACTAATATCATCACTGATTTCACGGAAATGCCATTCCCCCAAGAAACCACGAAGAAATCGAGGAAACACGGAATCTGGTACAAACCGGAAATGGGAAGAACAAGGGAAATCTCCGGGAGAAGGTTCCTGATCGGAGGTTTAACAGATCGGAGAATTAGGGTTTTGAGGAAGCGAGCAAGGTATGTGTAAGGATCTCTGTAAAGTTTTGAGATTTTTCGAAATGGTGAAGACGGAGAAGAGACAGTAACAGGCGTAGCCTTTTTGTCCTAAATTTTTTTTGTTTTTTGTTTTTAATTATTCCACCTGAATTAATTAAATTAGTTAACTACACAAATCACGACAACCAAACAAATCAACCCCGAAATTAATATTAACCGAGTTAGTCCTTAGACTATTAAACCGGTTTCTACCCCACTTAGCAGTTATAAACTTGTAAATATGTAAAATCCACAACTCCTATGATTAGCTTAACTAAAAATTTAGCCAAATTTCTTATTTTTCGACGTCATAATTAAAGTTCGAATTAAGATTTTATTTCTCTTTTCTTGATTATAATAAAATGCTAAGAAAGGAAAGATAAAAAGGTAAATAGTAATGTGTGTTAATTCATGTCTTTTTGGAAATATAACTAAATAAATAAGATTGAAAGAAAGCACAGTTGTACATGAGAGTCTGGAAAATCAGTAGCGAATTTAAAGGTAGTTGTGATGGGGTCACGTGATACATGAACAACCCACGTGTCCGTCGCAAATGCACCGGCAAGTGACGATCACACGATAACCAAACCAAAACAGATCCAAATAAGTACTCTATACCAACTTAAATTTAGAATATTGAACCGATTTCTACACCAATTAGGCTTTTTTTAGCATGACAAGCTGGTTTTATTTAGTTTGATGATTGGACCACTGATAAACTTCCTGATATGTAGCTTAATTTATTTGGTCACGTTATGTAGCGCAACAATTAATTTAAGCTACCAATTAATTAACATGGATATAATTCGTTTTGTCAGAATCTTGGTGGCACTTCCTACAAAAAGTCAAATGTGTTTTTTTTTACAACAACAAATAGTCAACTGTCTTTAAAAACAATTTCGACAACAATTTGTAAAGAAAGTAAAGACAACATTTTCGATGGAATTTTTTTTTCTTTTTAGCAAACGATAGGAATTTATTTCTGCGTTTTTTGGGGGAATTTTTAATCACATAGTGAAACTTAGAGAAAATAATAATAATAAAGTGTGTGTGGGAAAATTTTCGTATTGATCAAACCGTCAGACAGTTGGAGGATAAATCTATGTAATTAAATAAGAAGCAAATACTTAGAATAAAAAAAAACACTAGTATGATATTTTCGAGACGTATTAGAAATTCTGGTGAATGGTTATCCAATGATTACATAGATTAGTTAAGTGCTAAAATTTCTGATCATCTCCTAGTTGATAAAAACAAAAATATTTTCAAATAGTTAAGGACAACATTTTCGATAGATTTTTTTTAGCAAAGGAAGATTAACTAGATTAACCTTAATGTTTACAATTTTTACTAGAATGACTTTGTAAAAATTGAGGTTATTCTAGTAAAAATCGTGTCTAAATTGTCCTTAAAAGCCTGTTGTCGAAAAAAAAATTTACAAAAATGTCATTAACAATTAATTTTCACATCAGCAAAAACGTCACTTTATTTACAATAATGCCACCGCTTTTTTCGAATTTACATATGTCTGCCATATTCCGATTACTATAAGTCTACCAACTTCATTATAACAGATTTGATAGTGTGTGACAGACTTGTTTACGAATAGTAGATTTTTAATCGAATGTCAGACTTAAATCATTAACTTTGTTGTACATGATGATAGATTAATTACATATGGTAGACTTGATTAGATAACACAGACTTGTTTCAACATGTCTGTCTTGCATGGCGATAAACTTATTTTTTTAACACAGACTTATTAAAATCTGATAGACTTTTTTGTGTGCATAGAGATATTAAATTACTTTGTCATAGTCCCGACAAACATATATAATATTTGACAGTTTTAATATACGATACATAAATCTGCGACAAGTTTTTTGTTTTTTCTGACAGAGATATTCTTCAGAGACATGATAAAGATGTGGCTTTGGTGACATAGTTAAAGTAATGCTGAATAAATCTATGAGGACACAGACTTATTAAATTGCTAATTTAATTACTCATATGACTCGGACGACATGACAGAGTTATTTTTATGACACAAAAAACTTATATTAACCTGCTGTTTGGTGGCAAATTAACAATGTCGACGACATAACATATTTGTTTTGTTACTGGATTAACCTTTCTTTGATAGAAGACTTATTCCCGGCAGAAATATATAGCTCAGTGACAGTAAAGTTTTAAAATAGACTTACGGATTACTTATGATAGATATGTTACCGAAGGTTTACCCATAATTACCCTTACGCGTGGTATTGAGAAGCTGCTAGAGGTAAAATTCAAAACTTGAGTAAAAACTCTGTAATTTTTCTTCTAACATGTCCACTTTGTTTTGCAGTCACGTGTGAATTACGCTAAACAGTTTAGAATGCAAGCTATTGATGCACATCAGTCGCAGGTGACGTTTGGGTCGTCTACGCATGTAGTCAATTTAACCGAAAAAATGTTCTTGCCGAAGATTTGACTTGGAGAAGTTACCATGTGTACACACACTTGCAGCAGCAGACGCAAGAAACACATGCCGTATGGAACTTTTTCATGCTTATTACACTAAATACTACTTGTACAACGCTTATAGTGGCATTGTGATGCCAGGAGATTCAGATTTGCCTGTTCCAGAACATGTGGCTTTGAAAGTTTGTCAGCCACCAGATGTATGTCAGCCACCGGAAAGACCGAAATCGAGTAGGATCAAATCGGCTCTCGAGAAAGCGCTTGATAAAAAAAGACCACGTAAAGATCACAAGTGCTCCAACTGTAACCAGTCTGGTCACAACAGCAAGACGTGTCATCTCGACAATTGATATTTTACGTAAACGTTTTCATTTTTTACTTTATTTTTGTTTCAAAAATAACATCTTGGCAAATTTGTTAACGATATTTAAGTTTACCATCAAATGCAATAAACCTATCATTATGAGAAATATGTCTGACAAAGAATTCATTTAAGAATTTCATACGATGCTACATCTGAAACTTTCGAAAACAGATACAATTTCCTTTATGTCGTTTTTGAGGTCATGGATCTCCTGTTTGATATCCGCCAGATCATTAAAAATCATCGATTGCTGCTTCGTGATTACCTCTAATTCCTCAGCGTGTGCTTCGTGAAACCACTTGAAAACATGATCTGTACTTGAAAACACGAGGAATTTGTACGTACCATCAAGAATTAATCATCTTCCACACCGTCAAAATCGAAAAAAAAAAACAGTGAGAAATCCGGGTTGAACTTACCACCAGAATAGATGAAACAAGTAGTCTACTTTGCTGGAAACTTTATGCGGACCGAATTCCGGGAGGAAGACAGCCAAAATCGCCACAGAAATCGCAAGTATACAGCGGCTAGGGCAGAAAGAGGTGCTCGGGGTTTCAAATGATAGTTTTTAGGTTTTTTAGCTTTAAAAATCGTGGAGAGAGATTCTAGGAGAAATGATGATTTTTCTGAAAAAATTTGGAAAGAAAATCTTCCATATTCTTGTCGATATTACCCAGAATTTAGAGAAATTTTTTACTTTTTTTTAAACTTAATTGATGACTGTGTAATTAACTCATTTTCTTTTGAAAAAATAAATCAAAATAGCATAACTGTGAATATCAACTCTAAACCACGGTTTTGTGGTCTTTCTTATAAAGATTAAAGTCATTCTAGTAAAACTAGAAATCGAAAGTCAATCTAGTAATATTTCCTAAAATTAGAGTCAATCTAGCACATTTCTCTTTAGCAAACGATATGAAACTTTTTATTTTCTGCGTTTTTGGGGCAAGTTTATTACATATGTTTTGTAATGGTGTCTAGGCAACCGTTCAGAATGCTTTTTATAAGACTACTTTTAATCTAGTTCCATAATTCTTTTTTTTCAATATACTGAAGATATTCGGGTCTAGAACTATAATTTCCTCGGTTCAAAAACCATAACGAGTTAATTTACTCAATTACTCTCCTCTTATTTCTGGTGCTCAAACTCGGGACATTCTCGGTTCCTTCCAATTTGGATGGCTATGTGATAATGTTTCATACATAAGTTTGTAAGTTACCACTATATTCTTAAAACAACTTTGTTATTAGGCCCAAATATACAACCTTTAACTGAGTTGGTATCGAAAAAAGTACAAAACGCCTGGAATGTTGAGGATAATAAGAATTGAATACGATCTGACTAATCTACAAAACTGATAATTATTTTTAAAAAAATGAAGGTATAATTGATAAAAATTAATGTTATCCCGTTTGGTTCAACCTCCCTATCTTGTTCAAGAGGAGAGCTCTTCTGATAGTTAACTACTTAACTCATTTCACACGTAACCCTCTGACTGATCCCGAGGGATTCCTTCTTCAGACAAGCTTTCCTAATCCCCAAGAATCTGAACAAGTAAACATAAGAATGTCTTATTTTATTCTTGACTGATAGTTTCAATAAACTAATGATCGGATATATTCAGTTGAAATTGAAACTTACCTAATTCTGGTCAACAAACTCAATAACCCTCAACTATACTCCAACGAACCATTCCCAATCATCTTTGTCATACTCAGCTTAATTAGCCCAATTAAATCACGTATATCAATCAATTAATTACATATATACTTGCTTTACGACCGATTGACGTTCTATGTAGACATATATCACATATCAATTGTCATACATATTAGTTCTCATTTATTTGAAATTATTTATTTTTAGGGACGTTATTATTGAATTCCCTTCAACATACAGTATATAGTCACGCAAAAAAGTATCTCGTTAATCAGCGTTCTAGCAAGACCTAGCAAGAATTATATTCTATGAGTTGGATCCACAGTTTTAGCCATCCAAAATTGTTCATGTCTATGAAATATGGATGCAATTATATAAATGTTGCATAATATTAATCTATGATCGTCAAATACATTATGGATCTCATAAAATAGAAGCATAATGGTACTTAAAGTTAATTGTTGGCAGGATTGGGTATTAAGTACTATACTATATATCGAATTTAATCGGGTAATTCGTTTCGTATTAGAACAAGTATCTTAGGATGATTACTAAACCGGACACGATTCAGTTGAACCGACGAACCAACTTCTAAGTATGTAGTAGTCCAAATTGTATCCTCACGTCAGAATCTATAAAACTCTTTCCTTTTTTTCTGTCTCTCTTTCACCTTTTTTCTCAATCATCCTTTCCTTTCCTGCACGGAACTTTTTATATAAATCAAAATCTTTAGAATCTTTGAATCCAAGCGCAGACAAATTTTTCGTGGGTTTCTCGCTAGATATATAGAACCTATGTCACGAAGTATAGTCAGAGCTCTCTGTTTCGTCTTAATATTGTTCTGTTTCCCCTGCCGGTTTTTGGCCAGAAACCTGCCGGAGGAATCCATCACAAAAGCAACTCAAATAATCCACGTCAGCAACGCCACGTGGCATGATTTCTCTCGTCTCGTAGACGTCCAGCTAGGCAGCCACGTCAGCGGCGTATCCGAGCTCAAAAGATACCTCCACAGATTCGGTTACGTCAAAGAAGACGACGGTGGTGATGGCGCGAAGAATTTCTCCGACGTGTTCGATGGTCCTCTCGAATACGCAATCTCACTATACCAACAGAATCTCGGTTTACCTATAACCGGAAAACTCGACACGAGTACCGTCACTCTCATGTCGTCACCGAGATGTGGCGTTACCGATACCCACATGATTGACAACGGTTTTCACACGACGGCGCATTATACGTATTTCGACGGTAAACCGAAGTGGAACCGGGACACGCTAACTTACGCCTTCTCGAAAACACACAAACTCGAATACTTGACATCCGACGACGTCAAAACGGTTTTCCGGCGAGCCTTCGATCAGTGGGCGAGCGTGATCCCTGTGAGCTTCGAGGAGGTTGATGATTACACGGTGGCGGATTTAAAGATCGGATTTTTCGCCGGCGATCACGGTGACGGGCAGCCGTTTGACGGTGTTCTCGGGACTTTAGCACACGCCTTTGCGCCGAAAAACGGGAGGCTTCACCTTGACGCGGCGGAGACATGGGTCGTTGACGGTGACTTTAAAGAATCAGATGTGGCCGTTGACTTGGAGTCGGTGGTGACTCATGAGATTGGTCACTTGCTGGGATTAGGACATAGCTCGCAGGAATCGGCGGTTATGTATCCGAGTCTCCGGCCAAGGACCAAGAAGGTTGACCTTACGGTTGATGACGTGGCAGGTGTACTCAAGCTTTATGGGGCGAATCCAAATTTACGGTTTGATTCGCTGACGGAGTCGGAAGATTCTCTTAAAAACGGCGCCGTATCACACAGATTCTTGTCGGGGAATTTTACCGGTTATGCTCTGTTAGTTGGTTTGATTCTGTTCCTATAGTTTTTTAGGAATATATTGTTTTTTAAAAAAAATTAGTGTACAAAATTAATTAGGCTTTATGAAAGTTTAGGGGGAAACGAATATTTTTCATGACCTTCATGACTTTATGGCGGCTTTCTCCAAGGGGTTATTATTCTTTGATTTAATTAGTTTCTGTTTGTGTAAATCATTATCTCAAAAATTGAATGATAAAGAAGATGTTTATGGACCGAAACTCCTTATAACACTTCATAGTTAAGGTTGATCATGACTTCATTTGTGTTCCAAACAAATATTTATTTTCAGTCAACTGTTAAGTTAAATTAATAAATATACAGAGATTACAACAAACAAAAAAAACATAAAGAGATTTGAATAGAATATCTGTTTCAAGTTTAGAAAATCTTATCCTCATTTTTTTTTGTAAATTTTATTTTTATATCAATCAATACATTTAATTATGTACTAATTCACTGATACGTCAGTTTTTAGTTGAATTTCAAAAACGATTTGCTTATGTATCATGAGATAATTTTATAGTGTTTTTGCTTAGGTATTATTATTTAAAATTATGTTGTTTAAATTTTGTTTACATGTTATAATCTAACAAGGTGTTTAGCCCGCGACTTGCGCGGGCCAAAAAGTTTCATTGAAACCTAAAATAATTAAATTTTTATGTCATAAATCAAAAATAATTAGATCAAGAATTTGATACATACAAAATTAAAATAAAGCTAACCTATGAAAGTAATCATTGTCTAACATTAAAAACTTTAAAATCAATACTAATAAGTGTATGAAATCAATAAACACAAATTAAAATAAGATTATATAAATTATTCATCTTTTTCTCTTTTTATCTTTTAATTTTTTTTCTATATCATTTTTTCTTTCTTTTTTTTTTTGTTTTTTTGTTTTTTTTTTCTTCTTTATTTTCTATGTCTGTTTTTTTTACTTTTTCTTCTGCTGGTTTTTCTTTTTCACGTCTTCTTCTTCTTCTCCACATCTTTTCCTTTTCCCTCTCATACATCTTTTGATTTTCTTCTCTTCCAGGTTTTATTCCTTTTTTTCTTCTTCTTCAATGTTTTATTATTCTATTTCTTCTTTTTTTTTCTTTTCCTTTTTCATTGTCATCGTCTTTTTCGTTATCACCGACTTCATATTCTTCTGGTGTTTTTCGGCTTTTACCTCATCTTCATATTCTTCTACTTTATCCAATTCCTCATCTTTTAAGGTTTTCATCCAATTTTTTCTCTTCCCTATCTTCTTCTTCTTCTACTTTGTCTTCTATTTTATTTTATTTTTCTTCTTCAACAAATTCTTATTCTTCTTCTGCCAATTATTCTTACTCTCTCCAAATTCTTCATAATATTTTAAAGATCTTTGTCTTATCTGTTTTTTTACTCCTCTCATGGTTTATAATTTCCCTTTTTTAATTTTTTCCTTAAATTTTTGAGTTCTTTTTTTTATCGTTATTTGTTTTCAAATTGTTTTTCTTTATTGTCTTCATCTTTTTTTACTTCTTATTCATCTGATTGGTCTTCGTTTTTTTTATCATATTTACCTTTTTCAACTTTGTCTTCTTCATCTTCTAGTTTTCTTCCATTTTAGTATTTTTTCTTTCACTTCCTCTATTATCTACTGGTTTTCTTTTATGACTTCTTCTTCTGATTATCTTTTTTCTTCTCCAATTGGTCATTTATTTTTTTTTTGTTCATCGTCATCGACCTATCCGACTATTTATCTTACTTGTTCACTGTATTATTTTTTGTTCATATTATCATTGTTTTCTTATTCTTCTCCTTTATTATTTTTTAGCTTTTCTATTTTTTGTTTTTTCCTTCTTATCTTTCATTGTTTTTGACTATTTCTTCTTATGTATTTTATTCATCTTCTTTGACTTCTTGATTTTTTTCATTCGGTTTTTTCTTCGTTTTTTCTGTTGATTTTTTTTTTGTTTTATTTGTCTGCCCCTTCTTCTTTGTTTTATTTTATTGTCTTTGTATTCTCTAAATTCTTATTCTTCAACATCTTCTACTATTCTTCTTTTGGTTTTATTAGCCGTTTTTATCTTCTGCTTTTTACTTCTTCTTGATCATTTTTGTCCTATCCAAACATTTTTTCTTTCTAATTTTTGTTTATCTTTTTCGCATCTTTACTTTCTTCTTTTTTATTTTCTTTTTCATCGTCGGATTTTCATCTTCTTATACTTTATTTTCTTCATCTACCATTTTTGTTCTTCTTTTTCTTTCAGTTTTCTTCTTCAACTTTGAGTTCTTCATCTCCTTATCATTTTTCTTCTTCACTATTTTGTGTTACCCATCTTGATCTTATCGTTCATGGTCTAGGACTTTTTGTTCATTTTTTCCTCATTTTTTTACGTTTTTCTATATGTTTCAATTTATATTTTTCTCTTCTTTTTCTACTTCGTTTTTCCCTTTTTTCCTTTTTCTGTTTTCTTTTTCGATTTTTTCCTCTGCGCCCTGCTAGTGTATTTGGCCTCTCTTACATTATTCCAAAAATAAACAGAATTCAGAAAACCATACTTAAAACAAACAAAAAAAAAGACTTAAAACCTGTTCATTAGACAATGAAGATGATTTATGATATGTTGACATGGTTTTAATCACGTTAAGTAAGGAAGAATAACTGACAACACAAAACAACAACATATAATCGAGGAACACTACTACTGGTACTGAAAAACGGAAAAAACAATAGAAAAAATCAAAAAATTAATTTATATAAAATAAATATGGTAAACAATACAACGAAAAGCCGACCAATGTAGAAACCAAACCACAATTGAGCTTAAGATACATTTAAAAAAGTAATATATTTATATATAGCTCTCAACTTAAGCTAAGATTTCCCACATCACATGTATATTTTTTTCCAGATAATCTTGCTCAACAGATAATCCGATTGAAATTATCTTAATATTATCAAAATAACTAAAAGTGGCAGCAAAATTGTTATACAAACTACAAAAATAAATTAATTAATTAAGGATATCTAAAAAAAAATTTATTAACGAATAAAGGAGAATTAGTTACCTAGATTGAATGAGAGACCTTATAGCGAAAAATTTACTTCGCATATATTATATATGATATGATTTTAAATGTTTTTTCGATTAAATCCAATTTTTAAATTTTCGTTATTTTCTATTTTAAATTATTTTTGATTAAATTTCGATTTTTAATATTTTATTAAATTTAAATATTTTTGATTAAATTTCGATTTTTAACAATTTTTTTTATTAATTTACGATTTTTAATATTTTATTTAATTTACGATTTTTAATAATTTTTTAATTAATTTATGATTTTAAATAATTTTTTTATTAAATTTAATTTTTAAAAATATAAGGAGGGGTAAAAAGTAATTAGCCACCCTAAAAATGAATGAGAGAGCTTTAACTCAAAATTTTACTTTGCTTATAATATATATGATAAAACAAACCAATTTTAATTTAAAAACAGAACCAAAATAATATTATTGTGGTTTAATGCTTAATTTCGCTGTCAAAACAAATCGTTTTTAAAATAAGTTAAACCAAAATTTTGAAAAAAAAATTTAATTAAAAAAAAAGAATTTACCATTTCTAATGTCTTCAAAAATGTTTAGATAAAAAAAAAAATTCCCATTTCTAATATCTTCAAAAACGTTTCTATAAAAATATATTAAAAAAACAAAAAAAAATTCTATTTCTAATATCTTCAAAAACGTTTTTTTTAAAAAAAAAGAAATTTACCATTTCTAATATCTTCGAAATAATTCCATTTCTAATATTTTCAAAAAACGTTTTTATAAAAATAAATTAAAAAGAAAAAATTTACATTTCTAATATCTTTAAAAACGTTTTATAAAAATAAATTTAAAAAAAAAAAGAAATTTACCATTTCTAATATCTTCGAAATAATCAAAAATCTAACTAAAATGTTAACAAAAATCTAGGCAAAGATTTCTTATGGTTTAGTATAAATATAAGCCACTTCTCAAGTTTTTAATCATAACTTTCACAATTGTTAAACTTCTTTTTTCTTTTTCATTCTAACCAAAAATTCATAGAGTCATCACTTAAACCTATATTAATGTTTTTAAAAACAAATATTAACATATATTATGTCAATGATTTTTTTTTAAAAAAAAAATTTTCAAAGTCTTATGTGTCTGAAATATAGCTACTTATTTGTGTAGTGATTTGCTTACGTATCGCGCTCACAACGAATTTTACCATCTTTCGCTTACGTGTCAGCTTCAGAATGAGTTTTGGTCGCAAAAAGACCGTTTATCCTCATTTTTTAATTACATGTTATTTTTTAATTGGTTCTTAACTGATGATGTGTAAAAAAATAATTTAAAACAAACTGGTCTAAATTATAATGGTTTAATGCTTAATTTTGCTATCAAATTAAACCGTTTGTAAACTTTTATAAAACTGAAAATTAGAAAAAAATAAACAAAAACGTTTTTTAAAAAGAAAAGAAAAGGAATCTTCTATATATCTTAGGTTTTTACCATTTCTTATGTTTCTAAAATTTAGAAAAAATTTAACAAAAATGTTTAAAAAATAGAATCTATTTAAAAAGTAATGAAATGTTGTTTCAAAACAAAAAAAAAAACTAAAATTAAAAAAAAAACTCTAACAAAAAAGTTTTTCTAAAAAAAGAAAATATATATATATATCTAACTAATGGAATGATGGTATTTGTGTTGTTTAAAACAAATAAAATAGTGATCAAAATCGAATAAGTTCATACGGTATTTCAAAAATTATGTGTGAAATACATTAAACAATGATCAAAAGATTTCAAAACTATTTAAACTAAATTATTTGGATACTATTATGTTTTTATTTACTCTCTTCTATTCTATATTGTTTTCACGATCATGTCTTTCAACATTAAAATGCAAGAAAATCTAACAAACAAATATACTCAAGAATAAAAAACAAATAAATCCAAACAATTATCAAATTTTTAAACAATCAAATAGAAATTATATTAGTCCACGCAAAACACGGAAAAGTTAACTAGTAAGTCATAATTAATTGTGATTAGCCCTAATCGATTTTTAAATATATCTTGTTGACTTAGGGTTTAATCACATCAACTTGGTTGCTGATTCTTCTAGCCCTAGGTATCGTTTTCGTTTCCCTCTTGATATACTCTTCTAACGATTTAGTATTATTTACGACCGTCTCTCTTAACAATACTTATACAAGCCCATCAGATCTAACATTATCATATGCCTAAGCCCAGATCTAAACAAGTCAAGTTGGTTTTGTTGGTTTCAAATCGAACCAAACCGTTTTATGAGATCAGAAATTCAATGGTTAATTCGGCCAAACCAAGAAGCCTTAAATTTAAATTCGGTTATTTTTCTCCAGACCTATTAGTAAGCTCTTCGTTTTATTCCGGCGGTCTCTCTCTGAAAATTCCTGAAACTCATAAACCCTAGCAATGCCCGGGAAATTCTTCTTCGATGCGGCTAGCGACGACGAGCTCGAATTGCTAGACCATGAAGAAGACAGTGGTGATGAATATGTAGAGGAGGAAGATGCAGAAGAGAGTGAAGGTCAAGCGGAAGCTGAAGAAGACGAAGATGGAGAAGAGGAGGATGATGTTGATGATGATGAAGAAGAAGAAGAAGATGAGAAGCCTACAGGGAAACGAGGTGCTGATGCCCAATCTCCTTGGGATTTCGCATCGTATTCAAGCTCCGTCGGTGAAGAACACGCCCGCCGACACACAACGTCTGTCGACGAGAAGATCTCCAAAGCTAAGGAGCATCTTCCACTTCCCATCTCTGTAGAGGAGGAAGAAGAAGAAGAGGATGAAAATGCCTCTGATGCTGAACCCGACAAACAAGTAAACCCCTTATATTTTGTTTTTAATTTTCAATTGATGGAATCCGTTTTGTTGAATCTCTGAAGTGTGAGTTTTAACTGTGAAGGACGAATACCTTTCGGAAGACGACGATGGAGCTGAGCTAAAAGCAGAAGATGTTGCTGCCAAGCCGTTTTTCTCTACGGTGGATGGAGTTTCGTTTAATGCCAATTCTTTCATGGAGCTCAATCTCTCTCGTCCTTTGCTTCGAGCTTGCGAAACTCTTGGATACAAGAAACCTACCCCGATTCAGGTCCAATTCTTCCCGCACGAATTTTAGATTTCAGTCACTGTTTTAGAGTTTTATCTAAATCGCTGGTGTTGCAAATGCAGGCAGCATGTATACCTTTAGCACTTACAGGGCGTGATCTTTGCGCCAGTGCCATCACTGGATCAGGGAAGGTGAGCAGTTGTTTGAGGGTTCTGTTTGATTCTGAGATTGTTTAGGTTCAAATGTGGAGTTTTGATTATGGTGATTTCATTTTCCCTTGTTTTAATAGACTGCTGCGTTCGCTTTACCTACTCTTGAGAGGTTGCTCTTCCGTCCCAAGCGGGTATTTGCTACTAGAGTTCTTATTCTCACACCAACAAGGGAGTTGGCGGTCCAGTAAGTAGCAAAAACTTTGACCCCTCGCAACAGTACTAAACCTTCAAGTCCTTTTGATTCCTGTTGCTGAGAAGCTGATTTGCTTTTCTTTGAAACGTGTTGCAGGATTCACAGTATGATTCAGAAGCTTGCACAGTTTACTGATATCAAATGTGGATTGATTGTAGGAGGGCTTTCTGTAAGGGTATGGGTCTTATCTGACTCTTAGGTTTCCCATTTCTTGAAACCGCTCAAGTGTTTAATGTGTGAGATTTACATTATTTGATGTTTGAAAGCAAGCTTATTTCCTCTCTACGAAATGTTGTTTTCTTAAGTTTGGAATTGTGACAAACTTGCTAAATTTTTCACGTTTCTTGTGTTAGGAGCAAGAGGTGGTTCTGAGGTCTATGCCAGATATTGTTGTGGCTACTCCTGGACGTATGATAGATCATTTGCGTAATTCTATGTCCGTCGATTTAGATGATCTAGCGGTTTTAATTCTCGATGAGGCAGATCGCCTTCTACAGACTGGGTTTGCCACTGAAATAACAGAGCTGGTATATTTCATATTTCATCGTTTTTTAAATTTGATACGTCGGTTCTTATAAATATATGATATTTCAAATCTAGTGAATTAGTCTTGTCTTCGCTAGTTTCTAGTCCGCAGAAGTTTATATTATATAATCTAACTTGACGGGAGGGTTTGTAGGCTGTTCTTTGTTTGATTTAAATATGAGTCCATATCTACTTGCAGGTTCGCTTGTGTCCCAAGAGAAGGCAAACACTGCTCTTCTCAGCCACAATGACTGAAGAAGTTAAAGAGCTTGTCAAACTCTCGTTGGAAAAACCGTTGCGTCTCTCAGCTGATCCGTCAGCTAGAAGGCCACCAGGCTTGACTGAGGAGTATGTTAGACACTACTTATTATTTCCAACCTTCTTAATAGCGAGCTTATGTTGAATATACATTTTAAATGCAGCTAACTCGTTATCTCTTAACTGTAGGGTGGTAAGAATTCGCAGGACTCGAGAGGCACATCAGGAAGCTGTTCTTCTTTCATTGTGCACAAGAACTTTTAAATCGAAAGTCATCATCTTTAGGTTCGACTTCACTAGAAATGCGATACCTTTCTAATCCAAGTTCCATACATGCTTGCAACGTTTGGCTTTTTGCATTTCACTTAGAGATTTGTTTTTCCCTCTTCTGCCAGTGGAACAAAACAAGCTGCACATAGACTGAAAATTTTATTTGGACTCGCTGGCCTCAAAGCAGCTGAGCTTCATGGAAACCTAACTCAAGCACAACGTCTTGATGTAAGAAACTTGGACTCATCAGCTTTTTTGTTTGTTCATGAATACCTCTATTTTACTGTTTGCAAGTACTTAGTTGTATCATTTTTGCAGTCTCTGGAACTTTTCAGAAAGCAGGAGGTTGATTTTCTCATTGCTACCGATGTTGCCGCTCGAGTAAGTATAACAAGAAAATAACTTATTTTCCAGATGATCCTCATTGTTGCTCTGCTATTTCACCACTTGAACACTCTTGTTTTATCATTCTAGGGGCTTGACATCATTGGTGTTCAGATATCAATTATGCATGTCCTCGGGAAATAGACAGGTAAGTCCGAGAATATTTCCTCTATCATGATTGAATTATCGAATGCTATCAGCTCTTCTTTTTAACTGATGAAAGGACGTTAATTTTTCCTTTGATATTGCAGTTATGTTCACAGAGTTGGTAGAACAGCTCGGGCTGGAAGGGAAGGTTACGCTGTAACGTTTGTGACTGACAATGACCGATCCCTTTTGAAAGTCATTGTAAGCGAACCTTTAGACATACATAGATCTTGCTTATGCCCATTCCATTACCGCTTTATTTTGGACATTTATTTGACTTTGTTTCTTCGGTTACAAGGCAAAGAAGGTGGGTTCAAAGTTGAAGAGCCGAATCATTCCAGAGCAGTCAATCGTCAAGTGGTCTCAGATTATCGATGAAATGGAAGATCAATACTCTGCTGTTATTGGAGCAGAGAGGTTCCTTTCACACCCATCAAAGAATTTCGTTATCCATGGAGTATTCATTGATCTGCATACTTAGGTTTTAAGGTGTTTTCATCGATTTCAGGGAAGAGCGAGCTCTAAGGAAAGCTGAGATGGAATTTGCAAAGGTAGGCAGCTTTCGTTCTTGACTTTGGTTAGTTTTCATTGGCTTAGTTTCACATGGGTGATTATGGCTTTATTTCTGCAGGCGGAGAACATGATTGAGCACAGAGATGAAATATATGCACGCCCAAAAAGAACTTGGTTCATGACAGAGAAGGAGAAGAAGCTCGTGGCCAAAGCTGAAAAGGTGTCCTTTTTATTACGTGTTCTCATTCTTCTAAACTTCAATCGATATTTCCGAATTTTGCTGTTGTAGAGAGATGACACACTTGTCTGAATCAATCTGGATACTTTCTCTGTACAGGATTCTGCAGGGAACCCTTCTGGGAACGAACTAATTAGTGCTGATAAAGCAGAGGACCTCAAGATGAAGGAGAAGAGAAAACGCGAACGCGAGGTCTGTGTATCAAGAAGCTCTTGACTTCTCAGTTGCATCATCATTTTTAGTTTATTGTTGATTCTCATTATCTCCTTTCTAGACAACTTACAGTTCTCTTGATTATGCAAGTACAGAAGAATCTTCCGAGGAAAAAACGTAGAAAGCTAGAAGCTGCCAGAGAGATGCTAGAGGATAACGAAGGAGAAGATGAAGAAGAAGAGGAAGGAGAAGAAGAAGAAAGACGAGGAAGATCAAGAGTAAGTAGTATTTTAGTGATACACATTACTCTCTCTCTCTCTCTCTCTCTCTGATATGATGAAACACTGTATTGATGTTAAATGTGTTCGTTTTCAGGGGAAAGACAAAAAGAAGAAAGAACCAGAGAAGAAAGGACTGACACTAGTGGATCTTGGTTACCGGCGAGCAAAGGCCGTGAAAGCAAAACAGAGAGCAATTGATTCTGGTAAGATGGAAAGACCAACACCGAACAAGAAACAAAACCTAAACCGGAGTAAACCAAGAAACCAGCCTCGGGGTGAAGAGATGAAAGATCTGTTCAAGAGCGATATGAGCGAGAAGAAACAGGGCAGAGGCGGTGGCGGGGCTTCAGCAAAACCTCGCACGAAGTCGAAGAACTCGTTCAAGAGCAAAGGCCGGTAAGGAAAACGTTACTGTAATCACTGATTCTTAGATTCAAGGTAAATAATTTGTTGGATAAAATGGGCATTGTCTTTTTCTTCTCGTGCAGATATAAACGTAGGTGAAAAGAAAAGCTTAATTGAGAAGTTATCGAAGGACAACCCACGAGGAAAAAGACAATTCTCGGCGAAGGGTTTAAACAATTTTCATTATTGTTGTAATACGAGATAGAACGAGACTGAAAAGATTTTCGAAAATTTTGTTTCTTCCAATGGTTTTATAATATTTCATGAATCGTATAATGGATACTGATACAAGTAGAGCAAAAGGTCACGTGAGTTAGCGACTATTACAGACACTTAGGCATGTGAGACGAGAGGATGTATGTTTAGGTCGGAGAGGTGTGTTTATATCTGTGTCGGAGAGGTATATTAACCAACAAAGAAGTGCCAAAGTCTAATGGTCCCAAAGTCTAATTGACAATTGGTGTTAATTAAGAGCCATAGGGGGAAGGCATCATAAATAATGTCTGTTAGGACGTGAGTTTAGAGATTAGTTTTTTCTTGGATATCTTTTCAGAAATCCATATTATCAGTTGAATTTGTTAGAAACATGTTGTATTATTATTTGAAAACTAACTCTTTTATATATATATATATATATATAAGTAAACTAACTCTTTTTTTTTTTTACCTCTCTTAACATGATATTTGTAATTTTGTATCCATAACTGAATTTTATATATACAACTTAATATTATATGTTTGTGTAGTTAATTTATGGTTAAATTAATATTCGTTTCTGCAAAGTTAAGATTCCCTTTTTTCAACAAATTTTGTTGTTTTGTTAGAAGTTAGGCTGAACTTAAACTACAAGAGTTTGAGAGTGAAAGTGTTATAACCTTTTAAACGCATCAGCCTATCATCCAACTCTTGAATTAATATGAACTAATCCTGCTAAACCATAGAATTCCCTCAGAACATGATAGGGAAAGCACAAGTTACTTACTGAAATATAACCAAAAATAAATATTAGATGAATAGTGAGCCTTACATTTTATAACAATCATAGCCTAACTCCTAAGAAATTGTATGTGGATGAAAATTCGAATCTTTAATTAAGAATTTTAACCTTAATTAAGTAGATCGCATTTGATTTTAATGAACAAAAAAAGCAGGCAGGGGGACAAAAGAATTAAGAAAGACGGTTACACGCTTCACAAGTCGTTGGAAAAGAGAGAGGGATGTTTGGGCCCACACCACATGACGTGTAAGTCTCCCAACTTTCCTCTTTTCTTTCTTACACTCCTCTTTTTATTCTTGTCTTTACGCTTCACCACCAAGAAAGATTTTACACTCCACAACTCTATTACACATCTCCATTACAAATATTTAATGGGCAAATCATTTTATTATACATAACTAATTCGTTATACACTTATAGTCAAGATTTTCTTCTTAAAATATGTCATTTGATCATGGGATCTCTTCGGTTTGAGAGTTTTGTAACTTTTGTTCCATTTAACAAGTCATTAAACAAATGGAAAATGGTCAAACCATTCCTTTGGTTAATTAGTTTTTTTTTTTGTGTGTTATATTTATTTCAAAAGCAATAACAAGAATAAAATCTGTATAGAAATTGATCTATAAGACTATTACAAAAGAAGAAAAAAGAAAGAAAAAGAGATTGCATGGCTACAAAGCGAAGACTGAAGTAGTAAAGTGAACAGATGTTAGACATAAAACGAAAAAGAGAGTAGGTGGTATGCACTACGCTGTCGTTTTGTTTATCCAAAAATAACAATGCAAACAGCTCGACACAATTCACTCCCGAGGTCCCCCGTATCTGATGGAGTTTATCGCATCTGTCTTTTTACATTTTTTGTTTTTTTTTTTTGCTTTTTGGCATGTTTATAATTCCACTTTATAGATTCTGATCTAGATAGTTTAATAAATAGTACAGTAACATAGTGGCGAAATAAATTTTTTCGGTTGAATAAATTTGTGTGATGACGTTTTGTTGATCATTCCAATATTTTATGATTTTGGGACAAAGTTTTAAAATATTTTTTTCTATCTATTTTAGTCTAAGAAAAAAATTGGTTTTGTTTTATAAACTTGCTATCTTCATTGTATATTATTATTGACAAAAGAACTATATTTATATATAGTAGTTTTATCATTATGCAGTATTATTAATAAAAACAATGATTTTTATTTTTTGATTACTGATTTTAAATATATATACTGGCATGCAAAGTCATGTTCGAAATTGGATTCAGCGAACCCGGATGATTCGCCTCAATCTACATTTGGCTTACTGCATGACTTTCTTTCTTTTTATAACTCATAATATCAGTTTTTTTATAAACCAACAACATGCAATATGTGCATTTGAATTCAGATGGTGATATACAATTTAGTAAACTATATGTTCAAATTGATTTATATCAATAATTTGGCCACAGTTTTTCGAAACTCTTAATCAACTTTTGATCAGATGAGATGACTCCAATTTGAAGTAATTCAATGTCTAAAACAAAAAGGTCATATTCAAACTCACCAAAAATAATGATTCCTTAACAAATTAAATAACCTCTAGGTTCTCTACCGGATTTTGAATTTGTCTTATTTTCAAAACCAAACCATTACACCAAAATTTGAGGACTCTTGTTATAAAAAGAATTATAGTTAATTAAAAGTCATTAAATATCTGCACTTCCCCAAAAAGCTATAATGGCGAGACCTTCCATAAAAACAATGCAACGTATGGACACATGTCTTCAAAAAAGGAAGAAGTGAGATATAGAGAGAAAGTTTCAACTTCAAGCATACGCATTACCAGAGAAAGAGTTCAGAAAGAAAGCGTCTCCTCTGTTTTCATTTAGTAAAAACAAATTAAAGTCTCTCTCTCTCTCTCTCTCTCTCTCTGCTTTTTCAGTTTTCTCCACAAAAATCGAAAGCTGGTGTTCGATTGCTAAGTGGGTACAAACTGATTCAGCCTTTTTTTTTTGGTCGGTGGCGAAAAAGGATGAAGAGAGAGACGATAGAAGAAGTTGGAATAATCGGAGGATTGGTCGGAGCTCAGGTGATTTACGCTGGAAACTCGGAGCTACTGAGTAAGTTGTTGTCTCTTGGAGTCGACCCGCTTCTCATTGTTATGTTCTTAAACTTGGCATCATTTCTTCTCATCACTCCTGTCGCTTTTCTCCTTGAAAGGTAACTCTTTTTCCTTTTATAAATCACAACTCTCTGAATCAACTAAGCAAAGTTCCAAACTTTAGATAAACAAATCCAAGAAATTCCAAACTTTTATTAGTATTTTTCTTTTTGAAAATTTTGGGATTTTGTTAATTTCTAATTTTACTTTTTGGTGGTGGGTGTTTGCAGGAAACTATGGCCCAGAAGTTTAAGTTTCAAGTTGAAGACAAAACTGATTTTGGTTGCTCTTGTTGGGTAAAAAGTCCTTTTAACTTCTGTATGTTTTTTTATTGTATGATGCTTACTTGCTTCTTCTGTGAAAGAGAAGGATCTAAAAAAGGCTCGCAAAAAAATTGCAAAAAAAAAGTAAATTTTGATTAAGAGAGAAGTTTGTGTTTGAAACAGAGTGACTCTGTTCCAGTGGTTATTCATAGAAGGAATGAAACACACCTCTGCATCAATGGCGACAGCTATGCCTAATCTCTCTCCTGCTTTCATATTCGTCATTGCTTGGGCTGTTGGGTAAAATCCTTTACTGTTCTGTTAATTTATCATATCTAAAGGTTAGAGCTTTAAATTTAATGGGATGTGAATAATTGGCATGGTGAAGGATGGAGAAAGTGAAGCTAAGTTGCATGTACAGTAGAGTTAAGGTGGGAGGGACAGTGTTATGTGTGATGGGAGCCTTCATTATGAGCTTAATGCACAGTACTACTACTGCCACTTCGAGCTCGGTTGAGGCTATGCCTATTGTCTCTGACGACGTCGTTTTGGACATGGAAAAGATCTTAGGTTGCCTCTACCTCTTCCTCTCAGTCTGCTGCTTGTCCTCTAGTATTGTCCTCCAGGTTTCACTTCATTTCCCTTCTTAGCTCTAGAGCTATTATGTATCATTCACTAATCCTTTTTTGTTTGTTTGTGAAATCACATCGATATTCCTGATTAGGCATCAATACTAGTCGAGTTTCCGGCGCCTGTATCTATGTTTTCAGTGGTAACTTTGATCGGTGGGATCACCATGATAGCTTTGCAGTATGTTCTTAAAGGGAGTATGGACACGGAAAGTGCATCAGTAATCGGTCTCGGCCACCTTGTGGGATACTCAATGCTGGTACGTATTTTTCTCTAGATTCATGTATGGTTTGCAACGTTTGAATGTGTCGAAAAATGTAATGAAGAATATTGTTTGTAGGGAGGGTTGGTGAGTGGAGGAGGGTTAAGTTTCAATGCATGGGTGATTAAGAGGAAAGGACCAGTGATTGTGTCACTCTTTAGTCCAATTGCAACTGTGGTATGTGTTGTTGTCTCTGCTTTCTCCATGGAAGAGAGTTTCAACCTTGGAAGGTACTTTTCTTTTGCAGAGTTTCTCCTTTTAAAGTGTGATCTTTTGAGACATAAAGAGAAGTTAGTTATCTTCTTTCTTGTTGTTGTCTTTATGAAATTAGCTTTGCGGGAATGGCGTTGATGTTTGGAGGACTCTACTTCGTTCTGTGGGCTAAAGGGAAAGAAGATTGTGGAGAAGGAAATGACGAAAAAGTAGGAGAAGAAGAAAGTGTGCTTAGAACGGAGTTTGATCTTGAGAAGCCTCTCTTGCGTTAAAGTCTTCTTTTCTTAATGTTCAAGTGAATTTAGTTTAGGTTTAAAGAAAGTAAGACCAGTTTTACTTTTACAGATAATAGAACGATGTATATATATACAATATATATAGTATAAAATATTACCATATACGGTAGTATATGTTCGTTTGTGATACCAGAATAGTTGGACATAAAAAAGATCTCATACAGGTCGAATTAGAAATATTAAAGCCTGAACATTGTTATGTAACATGTTTTTTTTTCAATGTGAAATGTTAGAAAGAATTTTGTTTTTTCAAGATTTTGAGCACTCAAAGTTCAGCTGTTTATTCCAAATAGTGGTACACTGGTACTGGTACACTGGTACTGGTACATACTGTTTTCGACGGATTTTGTGGTACACTGGTTTGTTCGGTTCGATTCGGTTTTGAGTGTTATTTAATGCCTTTTATGTTTGTTCTACGCTCGGAGAGACACACCTTAGGCAGTGTCAAACGAGAGGATTGTCAGGACAAAATTCTGTTTGGATTATTTGTTCACGTGTCGCGAATCATGATTTATATAACAACTGTTTTTAAAAGAATAACCATCAATTTTTAAAACCTGTTTTGCATAAAATTCTTTAGATCTAAAATCAATAATAACATATTCTTGGAATAGTACTCAAATTCATTATAAACAGAGGGAGTATTTTAAAAGTTGTAAACATTAATATCCTTGGATCATGCTGTACTGTTTCGAGAAAAAAAGTGATGGGTTTTTCTGTTCCCCCTCGGTTTCTTTCAGCAATTAAATATTTTAAATATTGGTATCTTGTAGTCGATTATACATTTATTTAGATGAGTTTAATTGATTATTAAGTTTTTTTTTGTTTTGTTTTTGTCTGAAGAGTTATGGATAGGGTGAAAATTGAGATTGAAGCAAACCTAAGTAGTTAACACTAAAGATTCCATTGTGTAAGCCTCTTCTTTACTCAACTATGTCTTAAAGTTCTAACAACTCAAATTCAAAATTTTGCCTTTCCTATTCTTGGTTCTTGGTAATGATAAATTCTTTGATCAGCTTTCTGATGAAACCATGATTACCATGCGTATAATGACAATATTATGCATTTCTGTCTACTGCTATATCTATGACCATGCAAATTCGATTTATTTTAATAGCCATGTTTACTATTTGATATCCAAATGGCAAATGCTGTCTATGAATCAAAACAAGAACTGTGGCTATAGTCAATACGACAAATAGTAATCCTCTAATTGATTACAAGTGATTTGGCGTATATATTAAAGATAAACCATCTTTCTTATGACCAAGAATATTGAATCTTATATCCGTAAATTAGTCCCTTTTTTTGGGTCAAGACATAAAAGTGAAAAAGTAGAAAGAGGTTTCATTCTGAATATGTCAAGTTTGTTGAAACTGCAGCCATACACAAAATCCAATCCCGGTTCGAAAATTATTAAGAAACTAATCATATACTTGAACCCAATCACCCATCACAAAGTTGTTTTGTCTTTTTCTTTAATTTGAAATAAGAGCAATGAGTATAATTTCCCCTGCAAACAAAAGAATGACAGTCAGGAGTTCTCAATTCAGCTAAACCAGTTCAAATTGAATGCAAAACATGTCATGTTATTAAAAAAGAAAAAGAATGCAAAACATGTAACGGAAAATTGGATTCAAAAACAAAGTTCAACTAGGTTTCACCTTACTATAATACGAAATCTATTAAAACATATATTTCTATAAACATGTTTTTCTCTGAATATTCAAATTCCAAAAGGCTAGATCTCCGGTAGTCTAGTGATTAGAAATGCCTACATTATAAACTCTAAAGATTTATAACACGTTAATAAAAAGAAAAAAAAAACTGTAGGAATAGCAAATTTGTTTTAGATTTCATACTTACGAAAGGATGAGAATTAAAAAAAGAAAAATCGAAAAATATGAAACGATGTTGGACGTCCCTAATAGGTGGAATGGCTCAAGAGACGTGGACCTTTCCAATCATCATTGTGTAGACATTCAGGTCACCAATGGGTCGAGCATCGTATGTTGGATTATACCAATCTATTTACAATTATATACATGTGATGATTATATAGATCGTTTCGTTTTGGTTATTCTAACTATGAAAACTCATTACTATCAGGTTATTTAAATGTTTTTTTTTGGGTTATTTAAATGTTTAAACCGTTAAAAATGACATTTCAGCATTTAAACCTCAACGCCCAATGAAATCAATGTAAACTAATACAACCGTTTACATCATTTCAACCTCGACGCTTCAACCGATTCTGCCATTACAAATCCTTCAACTAACCCAACCAACATATTTCACACATACTTTGTTTTAAGTTTATTTTTAGTTGTTGTTTGAATCATCATTTGTTTGTTTTAAGTCTATGTTGAGCTTCTGAACTCATCTATGCTTTGAGAAGTGTCTAGTCAATAAAAGGCAAAGCAACAACTTTTTTTTTTCGGGGTGCTTTGTTGTCTCCTTTCTTCTATCTTTTAAACAAATTTACCTTTGTAATAAACAAATAATATATTTACTTTTTATTTGTTTGTTTGTAAGAACATATATAATTTCATTCACGATAGATACAAACAAATTATTAAAAATTCCAATCTTTCTGGATTAATTAGAGAGATTCTATACTCGGTGGTTATCGTTGTCAGTAGAATTAAAAATGGGATAGTTTTTCTCTTAATCGTTCTACTAAAACTAACTAAAAAAAGTTATCTTTACGTATCATTAGTAGTAGTTATCGTATGGACCAAAAAGTCATAATTGTTAATTTTGGGGGTTTGTGAAAAAGAGAGGAATGCTTGTTACCTACTCTTATTAACTTCTCTGATTCTCTCTCTCTCTCTTTCTTTGTCTTCTCTACAACAGTCTCTCTACGCAAATTTGGGACAGAGAAACTTAAAGTCTTCTTAAGGTTTCTTTTGTTCTGTTCTTGTTCTTTGGCAAAAAATGCAGAAACACAAATGCAAGCTATGTTCCAAGAGTTTCTGTAATGGCAGGGCACTTGGTGGTCACATGAAGTCTCACTTGGTCTCATCACACCCATCAACTCGGAAAAGACTCGGTGACTCGGTCTATTCCTCTTCGTCTTCCTCAGACGCTAAATCTCTGGTCTACGGGCTACGAGAGAACCCGAGGAAGAGCTTCCGGGTTTTCAATCCGGATCCTGAGTCATCCACCGTCTACGACAGCGAGACCGAGACGGAACCCGAGTCCGTAGACCCGGTTATGAAACGGGGCAGAGCAGAGGTTTCCAAGAAGAAGGAGAAGAAGAAGAAGAAAAGGAGCAAGAGAGTGTTTGAGAACTCGTCCGAGTCGGGGAAGAAGCAGAAAACGATTCATCTTAACTCGAACGAGTCACCAGAACCGGCGAGTTCTGTCTCGGACGGTTCTCCGGAACAGGATTTAGCCGTCTGTTTGATGATGCTCTCGAGAGACTCAAGGGTTCTTGAGATTGAAGTGAAAAAACCGGTTTTTGCAGCTGAAGTAGTAGAAGAGACGAAGCCGGAAAAAAGACACTTCCCGGAGCTCCGTCGCTGTGTGATAGATCTGAATCTTCCTCCGCCGCAAGACGGCGATGTTGTCACCGTCGTTTCAGCCATATAAAAACAGTTGAGGTTTTTTCAGAGATTAGATAACATCAAATATCACAAAGCATCTTTGTTGATTTGGTTTTCTTCAAGATCATTATTCTTTAATTTAGAAAACCGTTGATTGGTTTGGAATCTTCGGAATGGTATTATCAGAACAATGTACTTTTGATGTAAGACAACGAAAAACCAAGAAAAGAAGAAGCTCTGTTTCCAGAATTCTTCTTCGAATTTTTATGGGTCATGGATGATAATATATTGTTGGATCTTTGTTATGAAGTTTTGATCTTTGGAATTCTTGAGATGATTCTTTTGCATGATCTTTTGGATCTTGGATCTTTGATTTATTAATGTGTTTTTAAAAGGAAATATTTAAGTTCAACTGCATTTTTTATGACACAAGTTTGTGCTAGCCTTTTAAATAATGTAAACATTATTCTTGGTAATGTATAAAAACATGAGTAGATATAGCATTGGTGGGTTGGAACAACTAGTCGACTTTGGTAAATTCTCAAAACATCTAAAATATCAGATCATGGACATTCAAATATCTCGAGAAGTGAGATATATCTATAACCCAAAAATACTGAGATATTTTACCTAAAAATACAATAAATAGTAGATATTACATGAATCGGTCTACATTCGCTTTAAGCATTACTATTCAATAAATTTTTTAACAACAAAAGGATAGTTCCTTACTTATTCTGTTTGGTTCTTTATTCCTACTTTCTTTGTGGTGTAGTTTGTGTCGCCAGCTGCATGCCTGCATCTGTAACTCTGTCTAGTGGTAGTTTTATACAAATACAGAACACATTTATGTTTCTTTCTTGAACAAAAGAAAAAACACAATAACTTTTTTTATGGGCACCATTTAGTAAATTGCTTATTTATTACAGAAATATCCCTGATCCATCTTTTAAAATCACGTTTCTGCATGTTTACACTTACCTGACTTTCAGAGTTAAATAAATAATTATACCCCACTGACGGATCGACACCATAATAAAGACGAAGAGTTTTGTTTATACTAATTAATAGTTTTACTGAAGTAAATTTTTTAAGGAAAAGTTAGAGGGAAAATGTTTCATTATGTTGTCTAAACAATTGGAGAAACATGATGTGGAGAGTACTTTGGTAAATTCCGGTTTCATGTGGCATACCTTTTTTCGCTTTAAGCTTCCTATGGAAAATATGTGGGCCCAGTGGACCAATCATATACAACATATGAACCCAAGTTCCTTCTTATTTTATTCCCTACTAACTAAATAAGAAGGATCATGTTCACCATAAATTTGATGATAGGTTTTATCATATTCACACGGAATAATAATGTGCACATAAAATTATTCGAAATCATAAGATTTGTAGATGTTGTTTTGACAAGAAAATATCATATGCAACTCATTAGGGCCCACTAGACGTGCCGGGACATCTGCGGAAGATGAGTGCATTGGCATTTGAGAATAGAACTTGTCTTAAAACGACATGGCGTGTGGTGAATCTATGGGCTTTTTATGGGTCTCATTTGAAAATCGTCTTCTTTGATTTAGGCCGCTAGTAATCCTGGCCCATTTTGATATGTTAACAGCCACCATTAGTTTCAGCAACACCATTTGGTTATGTAATTAGAGAGAATCTCATTAAACAAGAGAGTTTACTCATTTCTTTTCAAACACCTGTACTAGATAATCCAAGTCAACTTAATGATGCTCCAATAAAAAGTCCAACAGATACGTAGTAGTTGGAGAAGTGTGTTTTCATCCCATTTTTGGGTAGTGCCTGAATAACATATGACTACTGACCAATAACTGCACATTTGACATGATTCCATTAGCTCATAGTTGGAGAACTGTGTTTTATCCCTTTTTTTCTCATGTTTGTATGGTTAGAGACCGATTTTTGTGGATATAAACCAAGCCAGATAAACCAAAATTTAAAGTTTAAACCAAGCCAAATTATCTTTAGGACAATTTTTCCATATTTAAACTTGAAAGAAAAATTTAACTCACAAATATCTTGAAATCTTAAGAAATCTTCTCTTCTTCCTCCTTCTAATACATGCTCTTCATGACGTGAGATCTCCACATATGTTTTTTTGCAAACAACTCTACGCATTACCGGTTATGTAGGCAACAAGTACAACGACGAAGTATTTTCTGACAGATGGTGCAAAATGCTTATCCCCGATAACTAACAATATGTTGGCTGGAAATTTGTTGTTCACCTACTGCTCCATTTTTTTTTAAGTTTCTCATCACATATCTGACATCAAGAAAAAACAGAAAAAGATAAGGAACCAAGTTAATCAAATACAATTAAAAATGAAACTGAAAGAAAATATACAGACCACCTGTTTATCATAGGAATCAACATCCACAAAGTCCATAACCCCTCTTCTTAGCTCTTATTGCTTCCATAAACTGACTTCTGACTTCTTGGCTACTCCAACAATATCACTACGCCCAAACCAACCCAAACGATGAACAAAGCTCCTCATCAATGAGTGTTGGAGGTGAAAACCGTACCCCCAGTTTTCTCCGGTACAAACCGAGATCGACACGAAATAATCCCGGGTTACGAAGGAACTGTTCCGAAAACATTGGGTCGAGTAAGTTCTTGGGCCGAACGTAGCCCAATAAGCCAAAGTCGGTCAGAAGCTTCTCAAAGGAACCGAAAAATTCTCTGAGTTCGGAGGAAAATGAAAAGTTTCCGAATAGAAAAAGGAAATTGACAAGAAGAAAGGAAATTTTCGAGAGAAAAGGAAAACGACCGAGAGAAAAAGAAAGTCTTTTCGGTCCCATATCGCAGAGAAGACTCACGAAGACCGACTTAGAAGACATATATAAAGGGAGAGGAATCGACACCGGAAGACACAAGAGATTCTAGAGAGACTTAGAGACTGAGAACTCAATACTTTAGCTTCTTAGTTTCATAAGTCTTAGTTCGTTATTCAACCGAACTCAGTTGTATTCCTGAATTGATCTAATAAAACCGAGTTTGCCGATCTAAATTACTGTTTTGTCCCTTGTTCGATATTCACATATCAACAATTGGCGCGCCAGGTAGGGGGCCTAACAGAATACTCAGTTTTAGATCGGATTCCGGAGAGATCGATTCAGCTATGACAGACCAAGTCAACATCCATGAGGAAGGAAACCCTATCGGCCAAGGGAACGGCGACATCCGAGCCCCTGCGGAGCAGACAGGAGGAACCCTTGGGGAGACCGTTGGAACAGAGGCCGGCCAAACTCCCCCAGCCGTAGGAGGTTTTGGAACTGAATTACTGCTCCAAGTGTTCAACGCTCAGTTCGAAGCAATCCACAAAAGAAGCGAAGAACGCTTCAGTCAGATGGCGGCACAGATCGCCGAGCTCAGTCAAGCACGAACTCCCCTTCGAGTTCGGAACATCATTGATGACCTCAATACAGATGGCGACCCGGCCGGAACTATGCGATCTACTGCTATCGGATCGGCAGTCGCCCCAACCCCACCGGATCTGAGTCGCGAAGCCGAGTTCGAAGCAATGAAGGCACAACTCCGCCATATCACTTCGAAAATTCACCAAGCAACGAGCGCGGCCCTGGAGATCGAAACCGTCATTGAGAAAACGCAAAAGACACCCTTTACACCGCGCATAGCAGGAACACCTGTCAAACACATGAAGAAACTCAAGATCAAGATCTACAAAGGCAATACCGATCCCCGACACTTTTTGACCTCGTTCGGAATCTGCATGAATCGATACCAGTTCAGGTCTGCCGAGGAGAAGGATGCGGTCCAGTGCCAGCTATTTGTCGAAAGTCTAGGAGGAATAGCTCTCGACTGGTTCTCACGACTCGAGGCGAACTCCATAAATAACTACAAGGAGCTGACAACGGCCTTTGTCAAGTACTTCTCAATGTTCATCGGACAGAACACCAAGAACTCCGAATTATGGCAAATAGCTCAAGGAGCAAACGAGAACCTCTGTGACTTCATCCAACGCTTCAAGACGATCGTCGTCAACTGCACGATCAGCGACGAAGCCGCCCTCTTGTGTCTCCAGAAAGGAGCTCGAATAAAAACAAGCTTCTGGAGTGCGATCACGCACAACCCCCCGCAGACCTTGGAGGACGCACTACACCGAGCTAACACTTATATCGCAGAAGAAGAAGAGGAGGCAGCTTACAACAGAGCTATTCGGCAAAACAGCCCGAACGACTAAAGGCCACCACTTACGAGCCGCAATCTGGGTATGGCAAAGGGTACGAGAGTCGCAAAAAGTTCTACGCTAACGCCATCCAACAACCGGCCAAGCAGTGGATCCACAGCGAAGAAGATCAAGACGAGTCACTGTTCTGCGAATTCCATAATCGTAATGGAAACAACACCATAGACTGCAGACATCTACGGGAATATCTACTCGCGCAGTACCGGAAATGACAAATCTCGCTCGACGACCTTCGTCGATCAACCGCTCAAAGAAACAAGTCGCCCCGACCGAATAACATACCATCCGAGAACGTTGTCGCCAGGGATCCACCAGCTTTACCAGCTTTACCGCCGCCCCCGCCGAATCCACCTGCCCAACCCGAGCAACTGAAACGCATCCGCGACGACCCGCGCCAGAAAACCATACTCCCAAAGCAAAGAAACGTGTCAACATGATTATGGGAGCTATCGAAGCCTGCAGCTATTTAGTTCGGGCCATCAAGGAATACAGCAGACAGGCCGCCACCGCGCCTAAACTCTTGCACGATCCACCGAAGGGAACCCCTTTGATATTCACCGAAGCCGACACAATCGGGTTGCACAAACCACACAACGACGCCCTTGTCGTTGAACTACTTCTCGACGATGTCGAAGTTAGTCGCATTCTCATCGATACGGGCAGTTAAGATTGAGCCCTTTATCGAGCCGCTCACGGGATTTGATGGCGAACGCTGCATGACGGTCGGCACAGCTAAAATCCCAATCTGCCTCGCCGGAGTTGCAAAGATCATCCAATTCCTCATCTTTGACAAACAAGCGATCTACAACGCTATTTTGGGCACACCTTGGTTACATGCGATGAAGACAGTTGCCTCTACGTATCATCAATGCCTGAAATTCCCGACTTCCGACGGTATCTACACTCTCCGAGGTAACCAGACCGTTGCCCGATCGTGCTACATAAACGAATGTAAGCTTCGCTCAACCAACCAAGTCTGCGTCATCAGTTCGCAAGGTCTAACTACCGAACTCATTGTCTAAAAAACAAAACCTAAGCAAGAGTCGATTACTCAAGTCTGCATCGACGAACTAAGGCCAGAACACCAAGTCGGCATTGGCGCCGAACTCGACCCAAATATCCGCGACACACTCATTCACTTGTCATGAACTCAACATCGATCTGACATACAAGTCTATCAAACAGAAACGCCGAAAACTCGGACCAAAGAAGATACAAGCCGTCAACGATGAGGTCGAACGGTTACTCAAAGCAGGATTCATCACCGAGGTCAAGTACCCTGACTGGCTACAAATCCCGTGCTTGTCAAAAAGAAGAACGGCAAATGGAGGATTTGCGTCGACTTCACCGACCTCAATAAAGCATGCCCAAAAGACAGCTTTTCTTTGCCTCATATCGATCGCCTCGTAGAGGCAACCGCTGGAAACGAACTCCTCTCATTCATGGACGCATTTTCCGGGTACAACCAAATTCTCATGCATCCTCAAGACCGAGAAAAAACATCGTTTATCACGGATCGCGGCATATACTGCTACAAGGTTATGCCCTTTGGTTTGAAGAATGCTGGAGCAACGTACCAACGCCTGGTCAACCGAATGTTCACAAGCCAGCTCGGACGAACTATGGAAGTTTACATTGACGATATGCTCGTCAAGTCACTTGTCGCTTCCGATCATGTCGGCCATCGTCGCACATGCTTCGATATTCTAGACCAATACGGCATGAAACTCAATCCCACTAAGTGCACGTTCGGCATAACGTCCGGTGAATTCCTCGGATACATAGTCACACAGCGCGACATCGAAGCTAATCCGAAGCAGATCGCAGCTATTCTCGAACTCCCGTACCCAACAACCAAACGAGAAGTCCAGCGGCTAACTGGACGCATTGCGGCACTCAATCGATTCATATCCAGATCAACAGACAAGTGCTTGCCGTTCTACCAACTTCTCTGCGGTAACAAGCACCTGGAGTGGAACGAAAAGTGTGAGGAAGCTTTTTCCGAACTTAAAAAGTACTTATCTACGCCACCAGTTCTATCCAAACCCGAAACCGGCAAGACACTCTACCTTTACATCGCAATCTCGGAATACGCGGTCAGCAGTGTCCTTGTTCGAGAAGACCACGGCGAGCAGAAGCCAATTTTCTACACCAGTAAGTCCCTTGACGGATCGGAGTATCGCTACCCAACCTTGGAGAAATTCTCCTTCGCCGTGGTTATATCCGCACAAAATTTACGCCCATACTTTCAGTCACACTCGATCGTTGTCCTAACCGACCACCCTCTTTGCACCTTCCTTCACAGCCCAAGTCAATCCGGCCGCCTCGCCAAATGGACCATCAAACTTAGCGAATACGATATCGAATACCGAGGAAGGACCGCGACAAAATCCCAAGTCTTGGCGGACTTCTTGGTCGAACTCGCACCCGAGCTCGTTGATGCCATCCCGGCCGTACAACCCTGGATCCTCCATGCCGATGGCTCTTCTTCCCGTAAAGGATCCGGCGTCAGAATTCGTCTCAAATCTCCTGAGGGCGAGGTCATCAAACAGTAATTCGCCTCGGCTTCCCGGCATCTAACAACAAAGCCGAATATGAAGCACTAATCGCCGGATTACGACTCGCCAAAGGAATCGGCGCCGAACACATCCACGCCTACTGCGACTCTCAACTCGGTAGCTAATAAGTTTTACGGCGAATACGAAGCCAAGAATGATCGCATGGATGCATACCTCAAAGTCCTCAAAGATATTGCTTCGGAATTCTCGACCTTCGAGCTCACGAAAATACCGCGCGACGAGAACGCTACCGCCGATGCTTTAGCCGCCCTTGCGACTAACTCCGATCCTGATCTCCGGCGAACAATTCCAGTTGCGGCAATCAAACGCCCTAGTATCGAGCCTGCTCCGAGTTGCAATATTGTTACAAGACGACGCGATTACGAAGCCCAACCCAACCTCGCTCCACCCCTCACCCGGAAGACAAAGCCTAAGGAAGTTGTCACCGATCTCGATACTGATATGAATGAACAAGACGACAACGAGTCCGATCACGAGGACGAATCCGAAGGCCAACACGTCTCAATCGATATCGAAGGTGAGGGAGAAGACGAGCCCGAAGATTGGATTTTAGAAATCATTGGCTACATTGGCGATGGAAGAGTCCCCGCGGACAAATTGGTAGTTCAACGCTTTAAGGCTCGCGCAGCTCGATACGTGGTCATTAAAGGCACCCTCCTTAGATGGGACGCGTCCGGCGCACTTCTAACTTGTGTTCACAGCAACGACATCATGAAAGTTATGCAGAAAATACACAAAGGAGAAGGAGAGAATCACTCTGGAACTCGGTCTTTAACATTTAAGATAAAAAAAGCTGGTTATTACTAGCCTACTATGCTCTCCGACTACGAAAAGTACACTGCACGATGCGAGAAGTGCCAGCGTCATGGCCCGATGATCAATCTTCTTACCGAACTACTGATGACCTCGACGACACCATACCCCTTCATGCGTTGGGTGATGGACATCATCGGTCCACTTCGCCGATCTACAACCCAGAAGCAATACGTTCTGGTCGTCACTGATTATTTTACAAAGTGGGTCGAAGCTGAGGCATATCCCGAGATACACGGCATCGACGTCAAAAAGTTCGTCTGGAAATTCATCATCTGCCGACACGGCGTCCCGTATGATATCGTCACAGATAACGGAACTCAGTTCACTTCAATAATTTTCACAGATTTTTGCGCGAAGTGGAAAAACCGCTTAAGTTTCTCCACACCGCGATACCCACAAGGAAACGGGGAAGCCGAAGCCACGAACAAAACCATTATCGATGGTCTGAAAAAGCGTCTGGATACGGCTAAGGGAACTTGTGCGGACGAACTCGATGGCGTATTATGGTCCCATCGAACTACACCACAACGTTCTACCGGTCAATCACCTTTCTTTATCGCGTGCTATGTGTCCAGCCAAACTCAACGTTCCTAGTATTCGCCGAATCATGCTCACTCAGCAACCCGACATGAATAAAGACATGATGCTCGATACTCCGGATACAAAACTACTAACAACCGGCAGCTCGTTACTACACCAAAAAGGTGAAAGGCCGTCACTTTGAAGATAGCGATCTCGTACTTCGCAAAGTTTACCAGAACACCGAAGAAAAGAACGCTGGAAAGCTCGGCGTGAATTGGGAAGGATCATACCAAGTAATGAAAGTTGTTAAACCCGGCGTTTATCAACTCTTGAAGCTTAACGGAACCCCGATCCCACGATTTTGGAACTCAATGCATCTCAAACGATACTACTACTAGAGCGTAGCATGCTTCGCCTTGATCTCGGCCACCATCTCGGGCGGAACCTCATACAAACCTTTTTTCTTAAGCTGTTTGATGAAGCCGAGAACTCCGGTAAGCTGGTTAACCACCAGGTAAGGCTTACGAGCCCGATCAGCATCGTCCAAGCTTCGGATAACCTTCTCCAAGCGTTCGCAGGCCTTCGTGTGAACACTCCTTGCTCGACCCTTCCAATGAGCCACCAAACCCTGCAGTCGCTCCTTATCTTTCTCGAATTCTCGAGAAAGTAAGTTCTGCGCTTCTGTCAGTTCGGCTTTCACTGCCTTAAGCTCCGAACTCTCTTGCTTCAGCAGGTCAACAGCAGTGTGAAGCCCATCATTTATTTGGGGCTCGGTGGCAAGGCGATCCTCAGCCTTGGAAATCCGTTCTTCCAACTCTGCGACTCTCACCTGTTCGTCGTAAAAAGCGACCTCATATGCCGCGACCAAAGTGTGGGTCTGGCTGGCGAGCTGCGAAAAAGAAAATGCAATCAGAACTCATACTTAGGAAAGAAATAAGAAAAGAATAGAACCAGGAAATTACCACGGCAGTTGTACGCGCGATCTCTTTGTACAATTAGGGACCGGAGCTCGGAGATCGCTGAAAGACTCGAGACCTCAGTGGAGATCTTATGGTAGAGGTCGGCGCAGGCATTGACGTTCTCCTCAAAAGGGACTTCCTCATCATAGTCGAAACAGACCTTATTCCTCTTAGCCGGTTCTGGTTCCGGAGAATCCTCGGCATGACCTCTTTCTTGTCTCTTTCGGGAGTTGGAAGCTTCAGGCTGATCCTGAGGGATTGCGAGGTCTGATGTCACAGTCATCGGAGGGTCGAGCTCGGCGGTAGCGTCCTTTGCCCGAGAAGAACCTTCAATCCTCTTGATTTTCTTTGAGGATATCTTCTTTTTCAGCTTCTTCTGACCAGCCTGGTCAGGCGAGTTCGCTGCTGGCGGCAGTTCGTCAGGCTGTTCATTGATCCCTTTGGCGGAAGGGATGGGATTCGGAACTGCATCATTCAGTTCCTCCTTTTCGAAGAGAGTAGGGATCTCGTCCAGCGAAAGCATCTTGGAAGTTCGAGCTCGTTTAGCTTGCAGCTTTGGCGCCTTCTGTCTGGGAGCAGTTCGAGGCTTGTTAGCTCGACTCTTTGGCTTCAGGGGCTTCGGTTCCTTAACAGAAGCTGCAAAACGTACAAGGAAGAGTTCAGAAAAACTCAAAATAAGAAAATAAAAGTAAACCTATTAATCTAACCTGATTTCTTAGCTCGGCGATGAAGGATTTCTTCCCAACGTTTGCCGGCTTCGCTAAAGGCTGCTTGGAATTCAAGAGTGAGTCCGGAATTGAGAAGAATGCTTGGGAGATGACGACCTGCAAAGATAAACCGAAAAAGGAATTAGAAAAATATGAAAACGAAAATCAACAGAAGTATAAGATCGTCTAGATCTACCGATCGGAATCTTCCACTCCGATTGAGTTGGGATGTCAGAATTGCTGACTGCGAGATCGTTCATCTCAAGAAAGAAATACTGGGATTCCCAGTCGTTATATTTACTAGGCTTGATCCCAGTGACGATATCCTTGTTCGGTTTGGCGTTCGCTGCGAAGAACCACTCTTTGGACTTGTGAATTCTGACTGAAAAGAGATCTTCAAAGAGCCGGCTAGTCGGAATTTTGTCGAGCTCGGTACATAAGGTAACGAAACCTACATAGTTTGTCACCGACGCTGGCATCATCTGAGTAAGGGCCATGCCTCGCCGATTGCAATATCCGAGAAGACGAGAGGGGATCGAAAGAGAGAGCCCGCATTGCGTGAAGTAAGTTAAATAAATGCAGAGGAAGCCTTCGGAAACGTCCCATGGCCGATCTCCAGCTTCAGGTATAATGAAGACGACTCTTTCTGCGAGCCTGTGAGCTTCGAGTACGGTCTGAACTGCCCTCGGAAAAAGAGAAGAAGCCGGTACGTCATGAGGACAGATAACTTTTCGTTTCGGTATTGGCGGTGAGGCATGATTCACCGCTTCAAGGTTGTCCTCGGCAACATCTACTTCGGCGTCGTTCTCTTCAAGATTCTCTTCTTCGGATTCAACGACCTCCTCGATTTCATGATTGTCGCCAACAACGTTCGGTCCGGCTCGAGCTCCCGTCTCACGAGTCTCGATCGTCTATTGCTCGTGAGCCTCCATTCTCGGTTGAGGTCGGCTACTAGCACCGACCGATCTAGAGTTCTTGCGAACTAAAGTCGGTTGGTTACTCGCCACCCGAGAGGAGCTTGATGAAGAAGGATTTGATGAGGAGGAGTTCGACTCAGAAGATTCACGGTGATCTTCCGGGAGAATTTGATGAGAAGAAGTGTTGATCGAAGAACTAGAAGACATTTTAAGCTCGAAAAGATGGATTCGAAAGAAGATCTGAAGGAAATGAAGAACAGATTGAAGATCGATCGAAAAGATTGAAGATGGATCGGGAAAGTTTGAAGAGTGATCGGAAAACTTGAAGATTAATTGGAAAATTCAAAGGTTACGGCGGAGGAAGTAGAGAGAACTAAAGAAAACCGCGAATAAAAACCTAGAGAGAGAAACTAAATCTAGAGAGAAGGGAGAGCAGCGTACCTTATATATGCTTGGGCGAGAATAATGAATGCGAGGTAGGTTTATTCCTTTATAAGAAAACAGTGGGAATCGTGGTTCCTCGATTTCCGTGAAATCCCGGAATTCACGCGCCGCATTGAAGAGAAGTTGCAAAACATCCGGAAAGGTGAATCGATCGAAGTTACCGAGCTTGGTTTGCAACCTACGTTTTAGATTTGGCTCGAATGAGTTCGACTAAAAGCTGTACCCTTTCATCAAACTGAGGGGGGGGGGCTAAATGTTGGAGGTGAAAACTGCACTCCCGGTTTTCTCCGGTACAAACCGAGATCGACACGAAGTAAGCCCGGTTTACGAAGGAACTGTACCGAGAACATTAGGTCGAGTAAGTTCTTGGGCCGAACGTAGCCCAATAAGCCAAAGTCGGTCAGAAGCTTCTCAAAGGAACCGAGAAGTTCTCTGAGTTCGGAGGAAAATGGAAAGTTTCCGAATAGAAAAAGGAAATTGACAAGAAGAAAGGAAATTGTCGAGAGAAAATAAAAACGACCGAGAGAAAAGGAAAGTCTTCTCGGTCCCATATCGCAGAGAAGACTCACGAAAACCGACTTAGAAGACATATATAAAGGGAGATGAATCGACACCGGAAGACACAAGAAATTCTAGAGAGACGTAGAGACTGAAAACTCAATACTTTAGCTTCTTAGTTTCATAAGTCTTAGTTCGTTATTCAACCGAACTCAGTTGTATTCTTGAATTGATCTAATAAAACCGAGTTTGCCGATCTAAATTACTGTTTTGTCCCTTGTTCGATATTCACATATCAACAATGAGACAACATTAATTGCATCCACTCCTTGGGCTTGCCACAATTCTATGTATCTCAACCGATAAAAGTGTTGTAGGTATTCCTTTTTTGTAGTAATCGTAGTAGTAGTTGTCAAAAACAGATACATTGTTTCTCTTTGAAAAAAAAAATCTTGCCTCCTGACATAGTAATTCAGCGTTAGTATCATCCAAAAACACATGTAAGAAGTGAATGTTCTATCAACTTGCTTTTCAGGTGTCCTCTTCCAGTATTTTAAACAACCGGTGCTGGAATAAAAAAAGGCATAAACCGCATATGCTGAATCGAACCATAAAAGAGAGTTGAGAAAGTGTACAGTTAGTTACCTTATCACATAAGAAGGGGACTCCTCTTTCTTTTTCCCATCCCTTCACTTTGATAGTCAAGACCATCGATTGTCGCTTAGAAAATAAACACAACTCGGTTAATATCATCTTAAGACTGACCAATCATACAAAAGAATTTGTATAAATATCAACTAAATATTGAGCATGACTAAGCATCACAAAAATTCGAAAAAAACTTATACTCCATTTGGAATTGGCACTGTTAATACGTTCACCTCTATTATCCCTTGTAAGTGCAAGGCAGGACATCATAAATTCTAAACTTACTGAGTTTTCGAGTTTTTGCTTACCAATGATCGAGTTACAGATTTAAAGACCCAAATCCTCTTGTTGAACTGCTAAAATGTTGGTATGCGATAGAAGAGAAAATAAGTATCTTGGAATGAAAAGTAAAGTAGATTGTATATGATCCACTAAAATATTAACAGGTCTTGTTTGTTTGTTTGTTTTGTTCTTAAAAAAAGTGTTACTTTGTTATTTACATGTAAACGTAAGGATACCCAAAAAGTAATCTTGTATTTTGAATGCTACTAGATAATTTGTGCGCGGATTGTTGCTTAAGTTGGATCCGTTACTCTTTTTCTTTTTTTTTAGGAATTAAAATTCTCATTTTTATTTTGATTTTTTCATTGTTTTTTTCTTTCTATTAAAAGTCCTTGAACTTGTACAACCTATTTAACTAAAAAACAGTCGTGATATTCCTTCAAAACTTATGATATGTGTATGAAGCTAAAAACAACAAAAAATCTCATGTTGTTGAGTCTTTTTTCAGAAATCAAGTTTTTTGTTATCTAATCTATGAATAATCATACTATATTGTTGTGGAGAAATTTTTTTTAAAAAAATTTCAATATGACAAGAGAAACCTTAACAAATAATTCACACTCGATTTATATATTTTTTATAGATTTAATAGCAAGTAGTGGTGGAGCCAATGAAGAAGCAGAGGGGTCAACTGACCCCTGCCATTTTTAAAATTTTGTTAATATAAGCATATATTTATAGCTATGTTTTGATCCATTGACTAGTTTTTAATGGTTTGACCAGTCATTTTTGGTTATTATGGGATAATATATATATATTATAAAGTTTATAAATTTATTGTTGACTCTAGTGATTTTTTTTTCCTAGTTCTTATAGAACTTAAAGAACTTAAGAACTCAAGATAAAAAAATAACTCTCTTTTATTAGCTTAAGAAAATAACTCAAAACTCAAGCTCTCAAACTCATAAGTTATACCACAACTTAGGTATCTCCTTATATAGATTTAGCTACTCCTAAACCTAATGGAATTAGATAACTCCTAATTTCCTTTTTCTTAATCCTATTCCTTTTTAGTAAAACATAAAGAAGATTCTAGAAACTTGCTCTTCAAGCTTTCTTCTTCAAGCTTACTCCAATATTGTCCCCCTTAAGCTTGAAGTCTTCTTTAATCACTTCATGAACTCCAATGAGATCTATCATCTCTTTAAACTTTAATCTTCCAAGTGCTTTTGTTAAAATGTCAGCCTTTTGTTCAGTTCCTGGAACATGTTCCACATTAACTTGCTCATTCTCCACACATTCTCTTATAAAGTGATATCTTCTATGAATATGCTTGCTTCTTCCATGAAAAACTGGATTTCTTGTCAAAGAGATTGCCGATTTGTTATCAACCCGAATCATCACCTTTTCACAAGCTCTTCCGGTTACTTCACTTAGAAGTTCTTGAAGCCATATTGCTTGCTTTGCCGCCTCAGTAGCTGCCATAAACTCAGCTTCACAAGAAGATAGTGCAACAATCTCTTGTTTCTGCGAGCACCAAGTAATAGGACAATTGTTGAGATAGAAGATATGGCCTGTAGTACTCTTCCCATCGTCGATATCAACATTGTGACTGCTGTCACTAAAGCCAACTAGTCCTTTGTGATCGGATCGGACAAATGTTAGACCAAGAGCTGATGTACCTCGCAAATACCTCAGAACCTGTTTCAAAGCTGCTCCATGAGATTCTTTTGGATCTTGCATATATCTGCTTAATACTCCTACAGCATACGAGAGATCTGGCCGAGTATGAAGAAGATATCGGAGGCATCCAATATTTCTTCTATACTTAGTTTCATCAACACTTTTCTCTTCTTTTGCTTTTGATAACTTCAGTCCTGAGTCCATAGGAATATGCACTGGATTACATTCGTTCATTCCTGCCTCTTCAAGAATCTTTAGTGCATACCTTTCTTGTCTTAGTGTAATACCGCCGATATGTTGATACACCTCAATACCAAGATAGTATGTTAGCCGACCTAAGTCACTCATCTCAAATTTTGTCGACATTCCTCTTTTGAACTCAAGGATCATCTCCAAACTCGATCCTGTGACAAGTAAGTCATCTACGTAGACAGCAACAAGCAGGATTTGTTTCCTTTCTTCCTTTCTGTATAGCGAGGCCTCTTTAGAACACTTATCAAATTTTAACTCTCTCAGGATGTTGTTTAGCTTATTGTTCCAGGCTCTTGGTGCTTGTTTTAGACCATAAAGAGCTTTATGTAACCTATACACCTTGTCTTCACTTCCTTTAATCTCAAACCCTTCTGGTTGTAGCACATAAACCTCTTCCTTTAATTCTCCATGAAGGAATGCGGTTTTGACATCAAGATGATGGACTTCCCATCCATTAGATGCAGCCAAAGCAATGATGAACCTCACAGTTTCGATCCGCGCAACTGGTGCGAAAACCTCATCAAAGTCAATACCATGTCTTTGAACATAACCTTTTGCAACTAGCCTTGACTTATATTTATTGATGCTTCCATCTGTGTTGCGTTTGATCTTAAATACCCATTTAAGACCAATTGGTTTTGCTCCAGCTGGAAGATCCACTAAACTCCAGGTTTTATTCTTAGAGATTGATGATATCTCTTCGTCGCAGGCATCTCTCCACTCTTTGTGTTTACTTGCTTCCTCGAAGCTCCATGGTTCATCATTGACTGACAGCAGAAGTCGCTCGCACTCCGACTCTGCAAAGCATACGTAATCGCTTAAATAACTAGGCCTTTCTCTCAGCCTTGTTGACCGTCTTAAAGATGGTGTACTCTCTTCACCAATGGTTTCTGTTTCATCATTAGGATTCGCTCCTTCCTCTGTACTGATCTCATCATCAGTATTTCCTTTCTCTGTTTCCCCTGTTTCCTCTGTTCCTTGAGGATTGTTCATACTCCCGTTGAAATTTCCGAAATCCACTAGTGGTCCACTGATCATATTATCTGTTTCTTTCTTATTCCACTTCCAGCTCTTTTGTTCGTCGAAAACCACATCTCTGCTAACTATTATCTTCTTGCTGCTTGGATCAAACAATCGATAGGCTTTAGAGCCTGGTTCTATTCCGAGATGTACAAGAGCTCGTGATTCATCATCTAACTTCTTCAGATTTGGTGTTTCAGTTTTTGCGTATCCAACACAACCAAAAACTCGCAGATGTTCAACATTTGGTTTTCTTCCTTTGAAAGCTTCGTATGGTGTCTGATCGATCAGAGTCCTTGTTCCAATTCTATTTATAAGGTATGTTGCATGCCTTACTGCTTCCCCCCATAAATAGTTTGGAACATCCATATGCTTCATTA